AATGCGTTTTGAGAACGCGTTTTTTTCGCAGAAATTTACGCCATGGGAGATACAAGCAATAAATAATGTACCATCATTTTTATTAAGTAACGATGTTTGTGCCGTTATAGAACTCGATATTGATTCAAAAGAACTTGATGAATTAAGACAAAAAATTTCATTTTCTTGTCGAGACGGCACATGTCGTGTTAAAGTTGGTATTAAAAATGACTTCAAATATTTAAAAAGATTGTTATTATCGAAACTAGAAGAAAATGGTAAAATAAAGCCAAGACAAAAACAAACAACAACAAAAATTTATTCAACACCATCAGTATTAACAAAAGAAAATCATGTTGAATTCATACATACTTCAATAAAGAAATGGGTTGAAGATACCAAAGAAAATGTGAATTTGGATAACTTAGAATTAAAGCCAGGTGCTGATTATACACTAACAATAACTGATAATGATAATGATCTTGAAGGTTCAATAAGATGTAAGTGTGGTGTTAAAATAAAATTAAGGAAAAGAGATGGTAAATTTCAAATTACCAATTTTTACAAACATTTAAGATCCTTAACATGTTCTATGATAAAAGAAAAAAAGAATCATAGTCAACAACATCAAATGTTGCATAATATTATCGATAATAATAATTATGACGTCGAAAATAATAACAATTATCAAACGACAGATTCTTTACCAGCAACACCACAACAATCATTATCACAAACATTTTGAAATTTACCAACATCTTCATCATATCGAGCAAACGTATCATCATCGTCAACGACAAAAGGTACTAAGCGTATTTCATCAAACTTAACATCAACATATTCACAACAATTAACATCAGCTGCGAAAAGACATAAAAAATAACATTTTTTCTGTTTATTATTAATTTTTGCATATGTACCTCTTCTCTGTAGTTCAACATTCCAAGTAAGAAAAGATGGAAAATCAGATTACTAATCAATTATAATAGTACTATTATGATCTGGTTTTAATCAGGTTTTCCAACTTTAAAAGATGAATTTCATTCTATTTAATTTTTTATAATCTATTGTAATTTGTTAAAAAACGTTAATCAAATATAATTGATTATAAGAAATGAATTATATTCGATTAACGTTTTTTAACAAATTACAATAGATTATAAAAAATTAAATAGAATGAAATTCATCTTTTAAAGCTGAAAAACCTGATTAAAATCAGATTATTATAGCACCAATATAATCGATTAGTAATCTGAGTTTTCATCATTTCTTTCAAATTTCGTTTTTTGGAATGTACTGTAGATTTGTTCATTGTCAGTGACGAACTCTTTATTGCAGAATTTATCTTCAACACTTTTGTTTTACTGTTTATATATATATATATAGTTTTATTGAAGTAGGAGTGACATTAATCGTCAATCCTCCTTTTACTATCGAAACTTTTTAAATGCTTTTATATTTAAAGACTTCCGTTGTTTTGTTACTTATGAGCTACATTATTTTGCATTTTGTATTGACTAATCATAACCTAAAATAAAGACTAAAACAGATAAAGTTGCCTACCCGTGGTAGAAAACTAAGTTTCTGAATGAGGTATCTATGAAAAATATTATTAGATATGTTCTATTAACTCGGTACGTATGATAAAAGAGTATTCTGCAAAGTAATAAATTTAAGGACTCAAGACTTCAAGATTATATAGGATTCCCACTGATTCCCTCCGATTCCCTAAAATTCCCCTGAATTCCATCGAATTCCAGGATTCCGCTATTCACCCCTTGTCAAATTTTCGGTATAAACATGCATGTCTTATTTAACTTATGACAAAAAATATAAATGAAACAGGAAAGTGGCACTGTTTATCATGATACCTTTTCCTTTTCTTCGCTCTGAAACTAATAGTAATGGCACGGATCCTTTTTGATAATTTGCGTACATGATGATCTTCAGCCGCCAGAGAAGCACGGTCTTGAGTGGTGTTTATCAGTTATGAATGTTCACTTGTAAGATAGAATTCGTGCCAAAAAAAGAATCGTAATCGTCTCAAACGATTTTTACAGAAATTCAATGAACCATCGGATGCAATTACCAAAGCCTACCGAAAGCAATGGTCTCAAAGTACGTCTGCAATGAACATTGTAGTTTAGTTCGAAGTTGCCACCTCAATTAAGAATATGATCGAACTGGCAATACACTCTAAAGCTAAGATGCCAACTGAGGACAAATATCGAACGCAAGTGTTATAAAGATGAGTACTGCTACATGAAAAGCTTTGGGATGGTACAGAACAATGAGTAATAATTGAACGACAATTTTGGCTTGACAGAGCCATTATTAAATAGAACCGATCTGACAGATCTTGATATTAAGCCCGAAATAGATAATGTAACTTATTCTGTCGTTTGAGAATGTAAGTTGCGTCGAAAGCTGACTTCCCACCAAGACAAATAACAGAATGATGATTTGAACTGCAACTTAAAGGAAAATAACGATCAGAAAAGAAATCTGAATCAAAGTAAGAATACACACGACGATGGTATTCAAGGCAACTATCAAAAGTGACTTCCCAGTTACTGTGAGAATCATAAACGATCCCAATGATGAGACTTCATCCAAATGTCGATTTTTGAGGAGGAATATGTGTATGGACAAGAAATGCTTCCAAAAATGGCAGTAGAAACCAATATCTTCTGTTATAGGCAGAAGGGACCGTTGATCTCCGTTTTAACAGGATCAATGATATAAATCAGTGTAATATTGCTTGTGAAGCCTGTATATTTTACCTATCCTGTGCAACGATAGGAAGAAAAATAAAAATAAAACCATGATAGTATGCATATTTTTTCAACCATGGATTAACTTTATCTCTCTTCATTATTCAAGCTGTATAATCGATAAGTGAAAGAACAAGCAAAAGAATAGCAACATTTTTGCGAGAAAAAATCCAGTATGTCTCAATAATATAAGATCATGCTTTATCCCGCGTCTACGGTTGATTGCACGCAAGCCAAATATTTTTTCGATATGTATAGAAGTAATATAATGCTTTCATTTTCTGTTTATAAAAACATCGATACATTACCCACGTGTTGCATCCGTTATTATAATATACATCGCGTGAATACAAGAAGCAGACGTAAGTCTTTAGATATTGCAGTATTCCTCGCAAGTCTTTTTACTCTATCAGTATTCAAAAGATTTTTTTATTTTTAAATGATAACAGTAATTAAGTATAGTTTGTATGAGCTTTATATTGTGTCTAAATTTATGGAAAGAAGAAAATGAAAGTGAATATTGGCAAATTTTGCGAATTTTATGAAAATAGTGATGAAGTTAGTGACTTTTTTCTCGTTAATATAGGCCGCTTGTGGCTATTAGGGGATTTAATGAAAAGGATAGCAACTGATATGCTACTGGAATCGGTCCTGATTATTCGATAGTTATAAGAAACCCTTGATGATTTGTATCCGTTCTAATATGATTCGGACGGACACCGGAACTACTTGTTGTACATAGGTAGCTATTGGAATGTCTTGAAAAACTGCAAAGACAAGCAGGATAGGAACATCTAGACAATAATCTTCACAACTTTAAACGATCGAAGTGATTGGCGCCTTAAAACCTTACATACTTGTCATAAAAATACCATTGGGATTTCATCAAGAGGTGATTCCCATGTCAAATCTTCGTATCGCTGGAGATTTCAAAGGCATAATAAAAGGCAGCTATGTTCAAGGAAAGACAATAGTGTGTCTTGAAACGAGGGAGAATTGAAAAAAAATTGGCTAGATATTCTAACAATTTTCCAATAGAACTGATTTTGAGAGCGTATTTCTTCCACTTCTGTCATGTTTATATTTGTGCTTTAAGGAAATTTATCCACAGATAGGGCAAGATCTTAAACTGGGATATGCCAATAAATTGTTATTTATTATTATCATTATAAACAGCCATTTTTTTAATCTTGTGTATGTTTGGAGAATCTTCAGCTCTTGTAATTTTCATTTATGATAACTCGAAGAAAATAATAAAAAATTGATGTATAAAAATGAAGCCATATGTTTTATGTTAAATGAATAATAAACAAACTGTTATTATAAGTGCTCTCATGTAAAACAAATCATTAAGGATTCATATTACAACCATTCTGCAGATTTCCCTCACGAAAGATAAGTCTAAAAGCTATGTTTTTTTGGAGAATGCTGCACTAATATTTAATGAGAAATTTCAATAAAACACTGATTTTCCAGTTACAGTAAGAATTTGAAGAAATCAGAAATAGTTCATAATGACGCTTTGGTTTAGAAATTGTCATCGAGAATTCTCGTGCTACAGATCTAATAGTTTTTCAAATTAAGTCGAAAACATAACAGTGGCTAGTCGTGAGAAGTACCTCGAAAGATCCCCGACAAACAAGTAGCTGGTGCACTAAAAAGTCCCTTAAAGAGACGCTTCAAGCTGTTTGTATTCATCAAACAAACATCATCAATCTTGATCTAATAAGTTTGAATAAGGAGTTGCAGTTGCTGAGAACCGAGATATATTTTGAAATAAAGTGTGAGAACGCTTTTTCTGCACGTGCACAATATTTCAATATTAGATTTGGCGGAAAACGTCAGTCAGAGTTTTTTTATTCATGGTATCAAAAGTAGATATAAATGAAATAAACGGAAGTTTTTCTGCTATTATGTGTTCTTGTCTGTACTCATTCAAATGTCGAAATGTATACGGATATATTCAAATTACTTATCTAATCTGACGGTTACTTTGAGTAGGAGTCTTTTTCAAGTATGGAAGTACGATGGAAGATTGATCTAGAATGATTCATTTTAACCTAGGAGTTCAATTGAACCCGTATTTTTGTAGCGCACATACGACTAAAAAGATATTGTTGGCTAATGTTTCGATAATCCAATGAATTCCTAGTAGAAATTTCAAGTAGTATGACCCTGTTTTACAATAGTGTCGTGAATGCGCTTTGTTTCATGACCGCTGAGAAAATTGAACGTAATTTGTTTTTTCTAGTGCATGTGGACATCGCCACCATAGTGTAGTTCCTTGATGCATTAGGTATCAATGTAAAAATATCAATTTGATTAGATGTATTTGTGATAAAAATGTTCACTTTGACCCACATACAACTGTGCACAACGAGATTGACGCTAATATCAGCGCACACACATCTATCCACTCTTTTGACACGTTGGATACTAGTTGTTTTGAAGGCTGGGAAACAGCATCAAACATCAAAGAGTCGAAAATATTGTTGAGGGTCGCGCGAGTCATACAGACGAGCGTTACCTATTAGATAAGTCTGTCTTTAAAAAGTTTATTGGAGTATTTTACAAAAAACAGATCAGAAAAATCTGGAACATATAATTCGATGCGTCCTCATCTCCCCCACCTTTCTAACCGCGGAAACCGCACTTCTTTACTTTGTTTTTGTCAATAGTTATTCAATAAAGCTTGTCAGCACAACTCTTTTGAAGCTGAGATGTGAAACTCACGTATATCCTTCCAAGTTGTTATCCTAGTGCATTCCTTGTAAACAAAAAAAGGATGTTTTTTTTTTAATTTATGAATGCATCAGAATATTTTATAGAAACTAAGTCCTTTTGTGTGCGGTTGCTGAGGTCTGTAATGAAGAGGTGTCTGTAAATGGGGTATATCTTTAATGTTTTCTTCCTTATTGCTATGTGTATGTAATGAAGTGGGGAAGAAGAAGCCGGAAAGCCTTGGTCTTAA